AAGGGTGCGAACAGCATGATATGTTGCATTTGCTGTGAACCCTAAAGAGACTGTATTAATCACTTATTCATCACAACCATCATCACCGTCATTGTATCTAATGAGTGTCATAAGACATTATCATCCATTATTTTCCACTTAATGTCTACGAACAGCATCTGTGGCATGATGTCGGGTAATTTCAATTCATCCCTCAGCTGTAAAAAAAAAAGAAAAAACAAAGCACATATTTTTTGTTAAAACACACATGAATTCTTAAAAGAATAGTTCAGTTGAAAATGACAATCACTCATGTTGTTCCAAACTTACATGACTTAGTTTTTTCTGTGAAACACAAAAGAAGATATTTTGAAGCAAAACAGTTTTGGTTCCCATTGACTTCCATTAAATGAACAAATACAATGAAAGTCAATGGGAACCGAAACGCATGGTTACCAACATACTTCAAAATATCTTCTTTTGTGTTTCACAGAAAAATCAAAGTCATGTAAGTTTGGAACATGAGGGAGAGTAAATGATGACAGAATTTTAATTTTTGGGTCAAGCCTTAAAGGTGCATTTAGTCCTTTTATTTAAAATGTTAAATAGTACTTTTAAATATTATTTGCATTCAATTAAGATGAAGATTCCAGCCTCATAAAATCTGTCGTTTTACTCTCCTAAAATGACTATGAATAACGGTTGTAGTGAGAAAGCAATCCGATCTAACGGACCAGGCTATATCACAATGTATGATGGGTAATTACGTAAGTTCCGTGAAAAGCATCAGCTTTGTTGTTTTGCTAATACCTCAAAATGAACCTGTGAATGTCTGTGGGTGAGCACGTCTTTGCCATTCAAAAATCAAAGCGCACTTTATTTTATAATGCCGTCTTATTGCTCTTCTTTGTAGGTGCATTTTAAAAATGTTTTCCCGATCAATCCTGGACTCCTGCTCAAAATGATAAATTATTATTACGACAGCTACAAAAAAACAACAACAAAAAAAACAACAACAATAAGCCCGCAAAGCTGTTGTCGTTCCATCCTGACGGATAACAGGCGTGACAGCGCAGTGGAATCCCGGAAAATAAACCGTGGAACTTTGACCAATGAGAGAACAGTTTACTCGCGCGTTACTTGTATTAACAAATTTGGTCCCTTTAGAAACTTTGCCATGTGAAAGCGAACCGCACCAAGAATAAAAAGCAACATTGTAATAATTTTAATCCCTGTTTCGGAACAAAGCAATCGATCTACACGTATGAAAGCACCCTAAATGTTTAGGTAGACAAACTACGTTATGCATTCATTTTTACAGACCTAGGGAGAAAGTCAAACCTACAAGAAATTTTGGACCCACTTTATATTAAGTGGCCTTAACAACTATGTACTTACATTTAAATTAATAATTTGGTACAATGCACTTATTGTGTACATACATGTTTTTACATAGTACTTATATTTTAAAAATACCTGCATGTAATTATATCTGAAATTAATTTCTGTAATTACATTTATAATTACAGT